TTTTGGTTTATTCTGATTCATTGTTTTGGTTTTCAGGTCTACTGATCTGTTCTCATTAACTATGGTTCCAGCTTCAGTGGGCAGCTGTTTTCAGTAAATAAGATCTAATAGAAACCCAGTGAATGCCAGCTTCCCAACCCCAACAACAAACGGACCTAGGTTGCAACCAGCTGGTGAATACATTACGTTTTTTTAGTAGTATTTCTCAGGACTTTTTATGAAATTAAGAATTGAAGCCAAAATTATGAGAGAATATTGGACAAACTTGACTCATTTGACAGCAGCAAAAATACCTCAAATGTCATTCTTTTAGTCTGAAATTGGATGGGTTTTCCAGAAGTGATCCAGAGCACACAAAACCAAAAGTATTTTACATTTTTATACTGATATACATATATCTATTCAGATGGATTTAATGTGCCATGTCTCAGTGTAGTTTTTATGGCACAGTGATGTCAAAGTTCAAGGGGGACCTTGACACTGTCACGAGAACTGTCTGTGTTCTCACCACATGGTCATGGTCACCTGCTGATCTTTGAATGGTCCTTGGAGAATCTCAAAACAGTGAATTAGAACCACAGCATAGCTTTGGTAATGCAAGCTGCACATACGGAACAGAGGTTAAACAGAGGTCAGAGAATGAATGAGTACAGTGCATTGGCACCTGCAATGCAACAAATAATGTAAAAATAAAAAAATCGGAATCATTTATTGTGAGATATAAATATTATAAAGGCATCTGAGCTGCCATTAGCTTAGATGTAAAGTTATTAATCTATTAACTTATGTTTGACAGGCAATTTACACCTTTTAAATCAGTAGTTTAACATTCAGTATGGACATTTATTTCCATACTTGAAATATATTAATTAATTTCATTGATTAATGTCTTTAATAGGGTCAAAACTGACTGAAAAGGCATGAAATATAAACAGTATGTAAGGGTAAACGCATTACCTTACCAGAAACTGGAGTCTAAAATAATTTTAATGATGTTTTTAACTACATGCCAACATCAATATTAATGTTTTATAAGCTGAATAAGTCCAAGTCCAGCTTGTGCCAGAAAACTAAATGATGATGGCTTTAAAGAAACATAGACAACATACATTTCCATCTTGGTATTCTAGCTAATATACTGTATACCCATACTAAAGTAATTTTGCTTCATTTATTACCTTTGATCTTCAAGAAATGCCCTTCAGTGTCAGGACAGCTGCCAAAATAGACTTGAACGCTGCCTGTTCTGTTAAAAGCATCCAGGCCACCAAGCTATGTAATGTGCACTTCTCATGCGATTATTGCCGGGCATCTTAGGTGTGCACACACTGTTACATCTGTTTATGGATTCCAAACTGGATTTGATTTGGTAATGAAACCCACAAAGAGGTGTCATCAGGCTATAATTCGCTGTAGAGGAAGATCCCTCATTACTAAGCTCAAGGTTGTGGCCTTCAGTGATGCTACAACTGCTGTGCTGTTTATAAATGAAGTAATGTGTATATGTATGGAGTGCATATGTTGCACCCTCAGAGAGACATGACTCCATTCTCCTTTTTTTGCAACTTTATTCTCCTCAGTTCAGGTTTGGAGTTTACAGGCAGCATAGCATATAATCAGCAAAACATCGCTCCCACATCTCAGACACTGTTTGTTTTTCTACGCTTACTGATGACATCACACGTCTGAACTCTGACCTCCTGGAGGTCACATTTTGGACACATTTCTAGTTAATGTTTGTGGTTTAGTCCAAAAACAAAACACAATTAAATAAGAATAGTCTTTAAAGATTTTCCCAACAATTCAGAAAAATGTAAGTTTTATAACTACTTTTAGAGCGCAACACATACTAATTCACTAATGCCCAGTGTGGGTGCACATGTGTGAGTGGGTGTAGAAAGTCAGTGAAAAGGAATGTTGATTCATTTCTTCTTTGCTCCGTGGTATTAAATCTGTCAGAGGCAAACTGAAAAACGTTGTAGAAATATGTCTCGGTTCTCAGCAGCCGTCCCTTTCATGCCTGTCCAATCGCTGTCAGGGAACAAGACTTGTTGCCACTCTGTCTTTTGTGCTTTTCATTAAAGTGGCGGTGTAATGAGCTTTAGTGTCATCAGTGGCCTGGAGAAATGAACAGTCATAACTGACACTAGCACTTGTTTGTAAGAGTCAGCGAGATAAAATCACACATGGGTAAGAAATGTAGGCCAAAAAAACCAAAAAAAACCCCAAAAAACAATTTAGGGAGCAGCAACAAATAAGAAACATAAATCCAGACTGTCTATGGCATAAAAAATTAAAGAAACTAAAGGATCTGCCTCTGAAAGGACTCCAGCACCTTTTCATGATGATAACTATCATCTTTAAGGAGAGAGAATCATTGACTATTTCTTAGATTCAAAACATCTTGAAAAATCTTACCTTTAGCTACGTGGTACTGTAGAAAAGTATTGAGTCACAACTCATTTCTTTATATATCATGCTAGGGAAATGGTGAAATATGTGTAGAGATTTACTGAATCGTGTGCAAACGAACACAGAAATACAGCATATAAGGCAAAAACAGAGTTTGTACAGTTTTAATGAGCTTGAAAGCCAATCTTTGGTATGACCACCTTTATAAAGCAACTCAGCGTAAACTCTCTTGGGAAAAGCTTTCGTTTCATTAGTTAGTATTCAGGAATAATTCTCTAGGCTTCTTCAAATGCATTCAAAGCTCTCCTGTGGTTTTTTTTTTCTTTTAGTTTTGTCCTCTGTCAAGAGTATCCCACAGTGCTTCAGGAATATTAAGGGCCAGGCTTTGTAAATATATTTGGACCAAAAGTTTAAAATTTGGATTCATTGCTCCATCACACCAATTGCAAGTCCAGTTCTTTTGTACCGGTTTGCCTCATTAAGAATAGCTTCTTCACAGACACCCTTCCACTGAAAGCATTTTTGGTAATGTTTCAGTGACCAGTAGCCTGATTATACATCTCTCAGGCCTTTTGTCAGGCCTACTGGATTTCTTTCCTATTTCTTAAGGACACAACTGTGTGCTAAGTAGCTTAACAAACAAAAACCTTTATTCTGGAACTGTTCAAGTACAAAGACTGGACTCAAAATGAAGGAAAAAGCAGCCAATGTCCAAAGAAAAACTTTGAAAGAACTTTAGAAAGCCTGGAGAACAATTCCTCAATCTCCTGTTGACCACTTTAAAAACGTACAAAAAAGTCTGGCTCCTTGGAAAGAAAAGAAATTAGGGATGAGTATGAGTGCTATAAACAACAGTAAACTACAAGCAAAACAACACAAAACAGCTTGAGTAAATATAGAATAAAAATGCATTTCTTAATGTTTCTTCGTGACAGAACTGAGAACTCATGGGAATCTATTTCCTAAATATTGTCTTGTTGAACAGTAATCCACATGCAATGGTGGAAAATGAGTCTTTACCTCATTAAGAAGTATTTCATACTTCAGCTGTCTGAGATGGAGCTGGTGCTGGTACTCCACTGGTTGCCAGCCCATGGGGCAGGCCTGTCTAACAGGTCACAAGAAAAATGTGGGGGGCCACTGGATGATTAATGAGAGAGGAAAGAAGGAAAAACAAAGTTCTGATACACAAATCTGTATTTATTCTGTGGACTTGTTTGTTTGGTGGAGCTGCTAACAGCTCATCTGACATATGAAACCTTACGATCCTTTTAGCCAGTTTCATTTGCCAGGGAGCTAAGGGTGAAGGTGGGTGGCTGGTGCAGTTGGGAGGTTCAGGAAACACTGGTGCTTTCTTTAGGAGTGCATTGTATTTTGTATCATTTTAACAGGAAACTCTTAATGTGAAAAGTAACTGATAATAAGATTAGTAGTAAAAGCACATTTTTCTAGGTTTCAGAATTGAACCTAAACATAAATCTCATTACTTTTCAGCCAATTAACCGAACTTAGCTTTAGTCCTTATCAAGATGCAGACAGGGACTCTGGAGACTTTTTAACACCTTTTTAAAAGTTTTAACCCAGTGGGATGTTTAAACAGTTCAGCCTAATTAGTGTATTTAATTTCCATTGCTTTTATGAGGATCTTTACTAAATAAAACACTTCACATCCTGTAAACGAGTCCAAGTACATTGCACCTCATAAGCATGTCTCGTGTCTGCGCTCTGAGGACTTTCCTGAATGGCATGCCATATGACGCCACTTCCACTCTTTGGCAGTGCATCACCCAGCAATCAGCAACTGCTAAAGAGTTACAAAACTGAACCAGAAGTTGAACCCGAGGGAGAGCAGCATCTGGCACTGTCCCGTGTCTGCTGGTAAGACAAAGGTAACACAGATTGGGAGGGGGGCCAGCGAAGGACATGACAATTTACAGAAGATGATTATAACTGTCATCCCTTGTTTATAAACACAGTCTTGAATTATTATTGCAAATCACAAGGAAATGTATTGTGTCAGCTAGACGTTCATATTTTAAATGCCTTTTAAAAAAAGCAAGAGAAAAAATAAAAATAGATTTTTCAATCATCCGGAATTAAAGTTCTAAAATTCTTTGCTTGACAAGACACACGTAGAAACTAGAATAGAGATTTAAAGATGGAAACACACACGTGAAGCCACACACCTGTTGTGTTGCTAAATGTGTATTCGCTGGTGCAATAGGGTGGAGGGGGGTTACAAATCAATGTAACTCTTGAGTTAAACAAATGCAAGTAATGCTTTAAATAAGCCACAAATAGTGAAAAAAAAAGCTAAGAAGAACAGGAAAGCACCCTCTTACTTTCAGTAACCACAGGCACATGTACACATTTGCCTTCTCTTTCCTTGCGTGTGTGTGTGCTCCTTCCCCTCTCTTCCCCCACCATACCCTTACCTTTTTTTGGACCATGATACGGGGGACCCAGATGTTGCATTTCACTGGCCAATGGTGAGGAGAGAGGGGCTGGATTGGTGTGCAGTCCCGATGCCCCTTCTTTTAAAAACGGCTGAGCTCCTGTCTCCAGCTCAGTAACTCAACTCACACGAAGGAGCAGAGGCAAGAGTTTGCCCAAACAACAGCCTCAGTCACACCTGAGGACCTGAAGTAGCTACGCTCAGCTGAGAGCTGAATTAGTTCGTATCGATGCTGTAGAGAATCGCCAGCACAATGTTGGGATTAAATAAAGTGGCGCTGCTGCTGTCTTTCCTGGCCTCGGTGGCTCTGAGCCAAGGTAGGTGAAGATTGATGATTGAACTGCTAATATATTATTATCATGTCAGAATGACACAATCCCAAGAAATTGTTGTAACTACAGATTTGCCAACAAAATGATGCTCGTGAAACTGCAAATGTTGAAAATGAACCTTGAGCAATTTTCAGTTTTCAGTTCATAATCACACAAGAAAGAGGGCCAGTTTATGAGTATTAACACATGTGCCGCACAACTGACAGTAACTGTAGAGTTTCCCAAGTTGACGGCATTTCCCTAAGGATGTCAGAGCGGGATGTTGAAAGAATTTAGACAAATGTCTGAAGATGAGCTCATATGATAAGAGTAGTGCATGATTAGTGTCTGTGTACTTGGATTACTTACATTGTTGGGACATTAATCTGTGTTCAAAGTCAGCCTACTCCCTTCTGGGGATGTGAAGTCATAAAGTCCGTATTGTAAATCACAAAATGTTGTGAAAGAAGATGTGGTTTGAGGTTAGGTTTAGGAAAGTAGAAATACTTTTTACGGGGATAATAAGTCTCTGGCAATGTAAAACTAAGTCAAAGTAACATCCTTTGAAGCGATGGAAACGTGCGATAAGACTGCCTTATTACCTCTTTATCTTGAAATCTCGAATCTAAAGCCATATGCATGTTTCTCCTGCACTTTTAATAACACAAAGGAGTTGGATGGAGATGGAGTGGGATGTTAAGGAGAAGAGGTCGTGAAAACTGTCCCTGCAGTGTCGTTTAATCACAAAACAACAACAATTTCACAGTAGCCGCAACTAGCAGCAAACGGAAGCCCTGCTTTATGAAAATTGTGTCCAGCTTTTATTACTTGACCAAGATCCAGTTCAAAATTACAGCTTTTTTTGCACTATTTTGTCTAATGTAGCTCCCGGTTTTTAATGCTGGTTAAGTGTTGTTTATCTGCAGACATTAGCACAACACAGTTTCTTCCAGATGAGATTAGAAGTTCTTCCCAGCAAACTTCACTCTTATCGTCCACTGAAAGTTTGCCATTCTTCCTGAATGACACCAGTAGCAGCACTTTTTCCAGAGCTGTCACTTTCTGTTCGCCTTACAGCTGCTTCACATTAGGTTTTTCTCTCCTTTTTCCAAAGTGACGGAGCTGGCAGTTCATAAAAGCAAATGAGTGTGAATACACCTTAATAGTCTCCATGTCTTGTTGGGCTCTGAAGCCTCTGAACTGTAAATGTCTTTGTGCCATTCACTGATGAGTATATATAAAAAGATTAGAGACCAGTGAAAGTGTATGTATAAATGGTGATTCATGCTGACTCTGATTGAACAGAACACTCCAACCTTAAAAGTTTAACGCCTCATGCCACGCTCCTTTAGCAGTACATCCACATCTTGCAGTAAGGTGGTGCATTTTTGTCCTTATTTCACCCTCTAACATTGGGAGCAGTCCCTAAAGATATAAACGCAGTCACCTTGGAAACAAGGTGCAATAATCACAAACCCAGTGGCCCACTTTTCCACCTGCTTGGTTTGTGCTCGGCTTAATGACAAAATGGAATAAAAAAGAGGAATAGGAGAACAGGTAAAATTACTTTACTGCCTTCTTTTTTTTCCACCGTCACACTGGCCAGCATTTCACTCTTTCCTTTTCACTTTTGATGACCAGTTCAGCCCTCATAACTGCATTCAATCCACTGCTAAAGTAACGACTGCGTGTCTCCATCTGTCCGCTCGTCTTCATCTGCTCGCCTTTTGTTTCTAATCTGTCTCCCTCAGGTATTTCCCCACAAATACTTTCCCCACCTTTCTCCCTTCTATCTCTCCCTCAATCACACTCCCTCCTCCAAACATTCTCTCCTTGCCTTGTTTCTCAGTCACCCTCTCCACACACCTTAGAGCTTAGAGGTTTACAAGCTGTTTTTCTATTTAAAGTTGGCAGCTGCTGCTGAATGCCCAACTTAGAGGGGAAAACAGTGGTATTACCACCTTTGGGTCTAAATCTTTCTCTTCTCTTCTCTTCTCTTCTCTTCTCTTCTCTTCTCTTCTCTTCTCTTCTCTTCTCTTCTCTTCTCTTCTCTTCTCTTCTCTTCTCTTCTCTT